TGTAAGTCTTTTTGAAAAAATACATTATAGTTACAATGAAGTGCTGGGTAGATGAATTTCATGCTGGGACATGGGTGACATGCTGTGTGTAAATCCGAACAATGAATTTACCTTATTTGCTCCCTCTTTGTCCTAAATATACTATTTAAAACTTTTTTTTTTTAAGATTAGTTTGATAAGTTAAAAAAATAAGGACCAGGCCTTTTCCTGACACTCTTAGTTTACAAAATAAGTAATTTTTGGTAGAAAATTACTTAGAACCCCAAAACATGTATTTGTTTAGCAGAGACCCTAGAGAATAAAATGTCGGTCCTTGCAATTTTTAATGTCACAGTTTTTGTGCAGCTGTTTTTCCAACACAATTTTTTGGAAAAAAATACACTTGCCTACCGGGCACTTTTACCCCCCCTTCCTGCCCAGGCCAATTTTCAGCTTTCAGCACTGTTGCACTTTGAATGACAATTGCACAGTCATGCAACACTGTACCCATATGAAATTTTTAGCGTTTTTTTCACACAAATAGAGCTTTCTTTTGGTGGTATTTAATTGCCACTGGGTTTTTTATTTTTTGCACTATAAATGAAAAAGAGCAAAACATTTTTTGTTTCTATTATAAAATGTCTCCTTTACTGATGTGCGTTGATGAGGCTTCACTGATAGGCAGTACTGATGGAAATTGATAGGCAGCACTAATGAGGGGGCACTGGTGGGAATTGATGAGGAGGCACTGATGATACTGCACTGATATGTAGCACTGATGGGCACTGATATTTGACAATGATGGGCACTGATAGGTGACAATGATAGGCAGCACTGACTGGTGGCATTGACTGACAGCACTGACTGGCGGCACTAGTGGGTGGCACTGCTGGGCGCCACTGCTGGGCACTTTTGGGGCTGCCCTGATTATCAGTGCAGATGTCCTCTGTGACACTTTTCGATTATCGACAGTACTTTCCTCACGTTGTGACTATGTGAGGAAAGTGTTGCCAATAACTGTATTTACTTTGTGATTAGCTGAGTCATTGGACACAGCTGATCATGTGGCAAAAGGTCACTGTGATTGGCCTTTTACCTTGTCATGTGATCAACTGTTTCCCTAGGGGGCACATTCTTGGAGGACGTCATATAGACGCCCTCGCAGAACTGGACAACCGCACTATAGCTGTCATTCGACTATAGCCCGGTTGTCAAGTGGTTAATGAAAGTGGTTAGGAAAAACAAAACACAATATATACCTCATTTTTTTTAAAATATAAAAGATGATGTTATGTCCAGTAAATAGACTGCAGCCATAACCCCGGTATTAAATGTCAAAGTAATGACGCATTTTCCCAGTTAAGCAGTATAGCAGCTATGTGCAGTATCATATATATATACACGTGATTCTGCTTTTCTAGGTAGACGGCACGCTTGCCTGCCCATGTTGTCATTGGCTTCTGTACATGCCAATCACCAGGTCCCAGCCAGTGATTCATTGAATGAATGTAAACAACACAGATCTCTCTCCTGTCAGCAGGGATATGCCATGTTTTAGCTCCCTGCAAAGCAGGGAGATATAAACCTGCACATCCCCTAGTAAAACAGCACACAGTACACATTAAAAACACTTCCTGGTGCACAGTTAACCCTTTGATGTTAGTCCCTCCCTGCCCAGTGTCATTAATACAGTAACAGTGCTTTTTATTAGCACTGATCACTTTATTAATGTCACTGGAGATGTCAGTGGCAGTTAGTCCGTTCCCACCCAGTGTCAGTTATTGTTGGAATATCTGCCATACTATCACAGTCCTGCTGTAAATCACTGATCGCCGCCACTACTAGTATTAAAAAAAAAAAAAGTCCAGTATCTATACCATTGTTTGTAGATGCTATAATTTTCACTCAAACCAATTAATATACACTTCTTGGGATTTTTTTTTGTACCAAAGACATGCAGCAAAATTGATTTTGGCCTAAAGTTATGAAGACATTTTATTTACTTTTTATAGGATATGTTTTATAGCAAAAGGTAAAAAATATTGTTTTTTATATTATTTTTTGGTCTTTTTTCATTTATAAAAATCCCAGTGGGGATCAAATACCACCAAAAGAAAGCTCTATATGTGTGAAAAAAATGATATAAATTTCATTTTTGTACAGTGTTGCATGACCACACAATTGTCAGTTAAAATAGTGCCGTATAGCAAAAGATGGCCTGGTCATGAAGGGGAGGTAAAGTTCCTGGAGGTCATGTGGTTAAAACGGAGTTCCACCACTGTCAAAAAATAAAAGTCAGCAGCTACAAAAACTGTAGCTGCTAACTTTTAAAAAACAGGCACTTGTCCCTCGGTCCCACGGTGTATCCCCCACAGCCCGTTTCACCGGTCGTCCTGTATTTCAGGAGGCCGGCATCTTCAGTGTGGGCACCCGGCTGTGATAGCTTGTGGCTTCACAGTCGGGTACCCACTGCGCATACGCGAGTAGCACTGCGCTTCATGAATGGTCCTGGGACCTGTTAGTTGTCCCAAAAGACTACAGGGAGGGAGGACACCTTTCACATCCGGTCGCCTAGGCGATCGGACCGGAAGCGGGAGCGGGTACCTGTCAAATTCAGGTACCTGCTCGCCACCCCCAACCCTAAGGTGCCAATCCTTAATGGGGAGCGGGGGAGCAGTCCTTAAAGCAGAACTTCCCCTTTTGGGTGGAGCTCCGCTTTAAGCAGAGGCAGACAGATTCCATTAAGCCACCAGGAGCTCCCTCTAGTGCCTAAGCTACAGATCTCTATATTTAATGCCATAACAATAATTAAAAGCCAACAAACCAACTGAATAAAACAGATAAAAATGAATATTGAATTTAAATATAATATACCAAAACAGTTTTTGATTTAATATTCACAATATTCACCTTGAGTCCCCACTGTATTTTTTATGCAGCCACATATCTAGGTCTGATGTCCAGTATTATTCAAATCACTTCCTCTGAGCCCAGGTCATCCTGCCCCCCCCCCCCCCCTCAGTCTCTCCTCCTATCTGCATGCTTCTTTTCAGCACAAGGACTGATTGGCTCCCTATGCTGCAAGACCCTAATACCAGGTTAGATTCAGGTACTTACACTGCACTTACATGTACAATATACACTTAATGGTATATTACTGATGTCTGCATTAATTTGTGTCTTATTTGTCTGCCTAGAGTTCAGCTTCCAAACATTACCTATGGATTCTGGATCATGCTGGCTCAATAGCATCACATAACTGCTGCATGAAACACTAAACAGGCCTGGCCATTCTCCCCTAACATCTCCCATAAGTTAAGTATTTTCCCAATAGAACAACCATTCATTGGGTTTTTCTTTTTATACCATTCTCTGTAAAGTCTGGAGCAGCTATTTCAACCAGGGTTCCATGGAACCCTAGGGTCCTTCAGAGGTTGCTAGGGGTTTCTTGGACTGTACCTGTAGACCTCCTGCATAGTTCAGGGACCAACACCACCAGAGGCCAGTGGAATTACACCCATGATCTTCCTCTGTAAATGAGCCCATGCATTAGTCAGTTTTTTTTTTTGTTCAACCAGCTAGTTGAAAGAATAAACTGACCCGATTCCTTCATTCACACATTTGAGGTGGATGGGGGAATCCCTCCCACTGAGATATTGTGTTTTGACAGCGAGGAGACGTCCCCACCTTCAGAATACAATGATCAGCACTGCCGTCTATAACTTGCTGTGCTCATCAAGAGGGTAAAATCCAACAGGACAGATCCATAGGTTGACTTCTGTACAACCACAGTGCCCATACGTGGATCGAATTTTGGCTGGTCCCTACTCAACTGGACGGATTTTGATTCATGCATGGCCAGCTGAAGGGTTGCATTTTAACCACCACTGTACGGGAGGCATTCTTACCACTGGCTACTATTGTACGGGACCTTCTTCCCAATGAGTTGATTCCAGAAGGTGTTCTATGAGACCTGAACATTATTTCAAGGGTTCCTCTGGAGAAAAAAGGTGGAGTAAGGCTAATACTGTTTTTGAGTAGCTTTATATGGAGAATTTTGAACCATAAGGAGAAAAAATTACTTACAAGCCAAAAAAAATTAGTTTGTTTGATTTATAAGGAGCATGTAACATAAACAACAGCCAAACAATGACAGAACAAGATTCAGCTTTCGTACCTGCTCTGTTGTGTGCTTTGGCAAATAAGTGACTATTAAATGCGTGTGATGTTTGTAAGCACAAGATTTATGGATGTTCAGAAAATTTTTCTCACCATTAAACTGGCTACACCCTACTAGCATTTGTCATTGTTACAATGTATTTCTTAGCCACATCTGTCCTCCTTCCAGTACACTTGGAACATGCTGCTTGTTTTGTGTATAAATGGGGCCTATGTACGCTCACATTTCATTTTCTTTTTCCCGGACAAGATTCTTGAGGGAATTTGATACATAAGATAAAAAAAAATAATGTTAGCTCACATGCACTTGCTCTTGAAGGCTACATTAGTTGCAGCATTTGATTTCATAACGCCACACATGAAGCTATGGTGTGCCGTTACCCATACTGACCAGGTGACAAAAGGCAGGAGCACGTATAAAATACATCTTTATTTGTACTTTCAGCATAGAGGTGACAACACCATTTGATGCCTTTTGGATTTTAATGCCCTTATTCCTAGTTATGACTAAGGACAATGTATAAAACAAGTCAAATACGGCAGTGGTTGGGTTAAAGTGACCTTGTTGAGGCATGACTGATAAACTGACTACAGGAGATACAGATGTTGACGCACGACATCCTGTATGTCTGTAGAGGACACAGAGGCACAAACTGATCATATCCGGATGGGTCTGATTCTATGCTGCCTCTACGGTCAGAATGGGAAAATAAGAAGGGTAACTGGCAGGATCACCAGGTATTTGGATGGAACTCAACCATACAAAAATAAACAGACTAGATTTACCGTACACAAAATGAAATCACAGACACATATCTGAGATACTTTTTTTGGGGGGTAACCAGGGGCGGACTGACAACTCATGGGGCCCCTGGGCAATAGGGGATCATGGGGCCCCTGTGTCCTTGCCCACACTCAAAAAAGCCTATGAAAAAGATACCAGGGGCATCTCAGGGGCCCCCTACTGACCCCGGGCCCTCGGGCAGTGCCCGAGTTTCCAAATGGTCAGTCCGCCCCTGGGGGTAACATACCTCTTAAAATCCCTAAAAAAAGGAAACATACATACTCTTTATTGGTTGAACTGGATGGACTTGTGTCTTTTTTCAGCCAGACTAGCTATGGAACTACTTACCTTGCCATTGATAAGGAAATGTCATCTGGAGTCTGTTCCAGGAGTGTCAATCTCCTGATTCCCCCCATCTAAGCTTAGTGATTCCTCCGGCAGACCTCTAGGTCACTATAGAAAATAGTACGTGATAAAGCTCACAATTTGCTTTTTAGGCCCCATGCACACAAATGGTTTTTTTAAGCTCCAAAAATGCTGGAAAAAATGCAGGATAAAAAACGCTGGTATAGCATTTTTTATATATATATAAATAGCGGTTTTTATATATATATAAAATAGCGGTTTATATATATATATATATAAATAGCGGTTTTCAGTAGCATTTTAATAGCGTTTAGGAGCGTTAGCATTTTATCCTCTTAGATTGTAAGCTCCATGGAGCAGGGCCCTCCTAACAATCTTGTATTGAACTGTATCATTGCTGTATTGTCTCCCTTTATATTGTAGATGAAGAAGGAGGGACCCCTTAGGACTTGAGACTTTGAAGGCTTAAATAGTACCAAAAATATTTAAAAAGTACACATTTTTATTTGTGAAAAATTGTTATGACACATAGATATACAATACAATACATCATACAGAGTCATAGTACAGCATCGAAACCAGAATATGAATTTACATGATAAGGATACCCAGCATGACTATGTTTGACTGGCCATAGAGGATATGAAATGTGTACTTTTAAATATTTTTGGAACTATTTAAGCCTTCAAAGTCCCAAGTCCTAGGGGGTCCCTCCTCCTTCATCTAATTGTTATTTTGAGGATGGTGGCTTACAATCAGGAATTTTCCCTCTTTCCCTTTATATTGTAAAGCGAAACTGTTGGCACTATATAAATCTTGTATAATAATAATAATTAGCATTTTTACAGTACATGTAGTAGCCCACTCTACTCTCAATGTCTTTATTACAACCAATGTGCATAAGCCAGGTTCACCAACAGAGATTAAAGCGATAGGAAACCGCAAAAAATAAATAAAAATAAAATCTTCTCCCCTCAAATTAAGAGCATAATGTGCTAGTATGCATCACATAATAGCACATTGTGAAAGACCTACCTGAAAACGAAGCCCCCCAGCAGAGCGCTGTTACGGGGCTTTCATCTACACCCGGTCTTCCTTCCGGGTTCCTGGGCTGTGGCCATTTGACTGGTTGAGTCACAGTGACGTCACTCCCGTGCATGCGCACAGGAGTCTTGGCTGCAGCACAGCTCTCTTAATGGATGGTATGCCGTCCATTGAGAGCGCAGTGTGCATTTGCCGGTGACATCCACGGTGGTGCTAAAAGAAGGTAATAAAATCTCCCACTACTTATTTTATTTTTATTTTACTTATTACAGGTATTTATATAGCGCCGTCAATTTACGCAGTGCTTTACATATATATTGTACATTCACATCAGTCCCTAACCCTCAAGGGGCGTACAATCTAAGGTCCCTAACTTACATTCATGCATACACATACTAGGGCCAATTTAGACAGGATCCAATTAACCTACCAGTCTTTGGAGTGTGGGAGGAAACCAGAGTACCCGGAGGAAGCCCACGCAGGCACAGGGAGAACATGAAAACTCCAGGCAGGTGGTGCCCCCCTTTAATACTTACCTGGCTTCTGTCTCGATCCAGCATTGCGCCAATCTGCAGCAGGCTTCTTTCTCTTCTCACAGGATACACAACCAGCTGGAGCCATTGGCGTACAACACTTTAAATGAATAGAATTTCATTCACACATACACATTTTTATTTATTCCCTTTCCAGTTTTTCAATTTGTTTCTTATGCAGGAAAATTAAAGCAAAGGATGAAAACTGACCAGACCTGGGAAGTGGCTTTTTACAGCAAGCTGCAATTTCTGAACTTTGAGAAGGGAGTTTGTAGGGAGAAGAAAATCACTTTAGCTCGGATCATCTGGAAAAGTGAAGTGTGTGAAACTCGAGCCGAGGCCAGTGTAGAATTATAGACAACAAAACAGGAAATACCCAAGCTGGAGGTTACGGCAGATACCATGAACTGTAACATTATCCCTGACCCCCAAAATGTTGTCTTTTCCTCATTAGCAAATTAGTCTCCATGGATACTGCTTTTTTTCTTCTTCCAAAGGCAGATTTAAAGGGATGTCGCTGTTGCGGATTTATGTGCAGACCATAGCTAAGATAGTCATTGACAACACACATTGCCAAAATGATAATCCCCCTCAAAAAAATCAAACTTAAGGTTTAACTAAAGGCAAAACTTTTTTTTTTTGGGGGGGGGGGGGTTGGATAGAGTGGAGAGGGATTAGAACCCTTGTTTTTATTGCTGTCCATACCCCCCATTAAAGTATTCAGCCTATTTGTCCTGTTTACTGTTATAATTGAAAGTGAAAGTAAAAGAAAATTCCAAATTTTGGGTTGACACCAAATAAATAAAATGGGGGGAAATCTTCCAATGGGAACACTAGATCTGATGACCCTTGTGACACCCACTTTGGAGGGGTTTCTTCTTACTTCCTGTTTTAGCTATGGGACAGGATGTGAAGTGAAATCTCCCTGATGGGGCACAGAAGTCCAATAAGAAAACTGACAGGGGTTATAACCTTCCCTTACTCTATCCAAAATGAACAAAAAAAGTTTTCCCTTTAGTTGCACTTTAAACACTCTCTAGCACTATATGTTCTATAGTGACATAGAGGTTGGCTGGAGGAACCACAGTGCTCAGTGATGGACTCACTATCCAACACCCTGGGAAATGTTGGATAGCAGTGGCACCAGGAGTGTTTTGTTTCAAAAGCCTCTTTATGCATTCACATACTACCTTAGACCCAGTCTGTCCAAACAGGATGGTCACCTACTGACTTGACACCATCCGCAGACAGCTTAACTCTTCTTCAATAAGACACAAAAGTTGAACCCAACACAATTATACTTCAGATAATTGTGGTACATAGGATGTTTTTTCAGTCTTTTAAAGTGTAAGAACAGAAATTCTACCACTGCCTAAGGCAGTGGTGGGCAACCTTTTTTTTCAACTGAGCCAAATCTCGCCAAAACCATGATTGAAATTTATTTTGAGAGCCACATTTTTAAAACTGAAAATACATCTCCCATATAGTAATTCATCCCCCATATAGTAATTCATCCCCCATAGTGTAATTCATCCCCCATAGTAATTCATCCCCCATATAGTAATTCATCCCCCATAGTAATTCATCCCCCATATAGTAATTCATCCCCCATAGCAATTCATCCCTCGTATAGTATTTCATCCCCCGTATAGTATTTCATCCCCCATATAGTATTTCATCCCCCATATAGTATTTCATCCCCCATATAGTATTTCATCCCTCATATAGTATTTCATCCCTCATATAGTATTTTTCATCCCTCATATAGTAATTCATCCCTCATATAGTATTTCATCCCTCATATAGTATTTCATCCCCCCATATAGTAATTCATCCCTCATATAGTATTTCATCCCTCGTATAGTATTTCATCCCCCGTATAGTATTTCATCCCCCATATAGTATTTCATCCCCCATATAGTATTTCATCCCTCATATAGTATTTCATCCCTCATATAGTATTTCATCCCCCATATAGTAATTCATCCCTCATATAGTATTTCATCCCTCATATAGTATTTCATCCCCCCCATATAGTATTTCATCCCCATATAGTATTTCATCCCCCCATATAGTATTTCATCCCTCATATAGTATTTCATCCCCCCATATAGTATTTCATCCCTCATATAGTAATTTTCATCCCTCATATAGTATTTCATCCCCCCATATAGTATTTCATCCCTCATATAGTAATTCATCCCTCATATAGTATTTCATCCCCCATATAGTATTTCATCCCCCCATATAGTATTTCATCCCTCATATAGTAATTCATCATCCCCCATATAGTATTTCATCCCCCCATATAGTATTTCATCCCCCCATATAGTATTTCATCCCCCCATATAGTATTTCATCCCTCATATAGTAATTCATCCCTCATATAGTATTTCATCCCCTCATATAGTATTTCATCCCCTCATATAGTATTTCATCCCCCATATAGTATTTCATCCCCCCATATAGTATTTCATCCCCCCATATAGTATTTCATCCCTCATATAGTAATTCATCCCTCATATAGTATTTCATCCCCCCATATAGTATTTCATCCCTCATAAAGTAATTCATCCCTCATATAGTAATTCATCCCCCATATAGTATTTCATCCCTCATATAGTATTTCATCCCCCCATATAGTATTTCATCCCTCATATAGTAATTCATCCCTCATATAGTATTTCATCCCCCCATATAGTATTTCATCCCCCCATATAGTATTTCATCCCTCATATAGTAATTCATCCCTCATATAGTAATTCATCCCTCATATAGTAATTCATCCCTCATATAGTATTACTTTATGAGGGATGAATTACTATATGAGGGATGAAATACTATATGAGGGATGAAATACTATATGGGGGGATGAAATACTATATGGGGGGATGAAATACTATATGGGGGGATGAAATACTATATGGGGGATGAATTACTATATGAGGGATGAAATACTATATGGGGGATGAAATACTATATGAGGGATGAATTACTTTATGAGGGATGAAATTCATCCCTCATATAGTATTTCATCCCCCACAGTACTATTCCCCCCCCCTTCTAGTAAGCCAAGTCCCCCGTGTCAATTCACTTACCTTTTGCGTTCCTCTCGCTGTCTTCCCGCGCCGTTCGGGTCTTCAGGGCGGACTGTGAGAGGAGCCTAGCTCCCCTCCCCTCACGTTCGGCACGCTGCCCCGCC